CTCTTATAACCTTTTTGACATTCAATGCATTTAAAAGGCCCATAAGAGCTACATGTAGAACAAGTAGGATGACATTTAATACATAAAACACACTATTCTTTCTTACAAGTATTATTAGATTAAATAGCTAATCTACTTTTGCATATACATTCTTCCAAAGACTAAACATCCTGTGAAAGATTTTCTATACATGATAAACATTAGCCTTGAAAAAGTCCGTAATGTGGCTTACAATGCATACAAATACCATTATATGTACAATATTCACAATTGGGGTCGCATTAAAGACATTAAAAACACGGTGAACTCCAACAATTTAACATTTATTAAACATAAAAGACTTCATTTTAACATAAACACTAACCAAGTATTAAAATCATTCCTTCAGAACATTATGTACAATCGAACTCAGTTTTCCCATTACATTAACTACATGAAAAATGGCATTAAGTGATAGTAAAAGTGAATTTATTTATTCCCCATAAACTATTAGGATTCGTATATTTAATTACCACAGTACTCCTTTTATTATTGGTTTTTGCCAAAACACTAATTTTATAAATACCAGAATTCTCATTTTGAGCTTAACAGAGAATTCTATTCACAATAACAGCTGTACTTTTTATATTTTAACTCAAATTTTTATCATCTAAAAACACTTAAAGAAAACTTAAATCAGTAGAAGAATTTATAAGGAGAAAAAAAGTAATATTAGTCTCAAAATAAGCCGGTATTTGTACAATGATTTTCGAAATAGAAGTTTTATCATTAAAATTTCCTCCAAAAAAACTCAAAAGACTATCCTATATAAAACAATTCAAAAATTAATTTCTAGCAGAAACTCTTAATGTAGAAACCCAAGTTCCCTTGTCATTACCTTGTTCGAAATCGTTCACAATAATCCTCTAAACTCCACTACAATATCCACATATCTTATTAAGAATATTTTTGCAATATTTAATACCACAATCTAATACACAAGTATCATTTTCTGAATTTAAATATGTTTAGACACCTTCAATTATTCCGCAATTAATACATAAGGGGGCATTTGTATAACCAGGAGCACATTATAAGCAATTTGAAGGGTTTATCGAACATTATTTGCAATTGTATGAGCATTTTTTACATAATTTATCTATTTAGTCGTAAAAAAAGTTTTCTTTTTTATTACAATCGCCTATTGATATGCAATATCCATTTAAATTAGTGAAGTTTTCCGCACAATGTAAACACATTTCGCTTCCATGGCCTTTCCCTATGCCTAAAATGCAGTTTTCAAATAAATCCAGTCTTAAGTAAATCAAAACAATATTAAAAGGTTTAACATGGACTCCTTTCTATAAAGAAAGCCTTCTTATATAAATAATATTATTTAATAAATCCCCGAAATCATTAAATTCTTTATTACCTATTTAAATTTAAAAAGAATTATTTCCTCCAAAAATCAAAAAACTTTCCTAAAAAAAATACACAAAGCCAACATCATTCCCTAATGAGGAATATAAACTCACTGCAAAAGTATTATTTCCTTATTTTTTAACTGAAATAATAATACTTTGACTCTTTCCATGCTTCATATATACCTAAACAGCCTAACTTTAATTACAGATATCCTTAATACATATATTCAGCAAATAATAATCAAAAATAGTTTTCACAAATTCTACTGATAATATATTATTAATTAAAAATAGTTTCACCTAATTAAATTTTGTATTTTTATCAAACATTAAAATAAACGAAAATGCAAAAGCAAACCCTAAATCCTCGTTCATTTATTCATTTTGAATATTTAAAATATATTAACTTTTTTAATTTAAAAATATTCCCTTTCCTTTCACAATATTATTTTAAATATCCTTATTAAAAATATTTTTATTATTCTAATTACTATAATCAATCAAAAAATCTGTTTTCTATAACCCAAATAAATGAAAATTATAAAAAAAAACAATATACTAAAAGCTCCCAGATAAAAATTCGATATCATCTTCTCCTTATAAAAGCTAAACATATTCATCAAACTAATACACTGTTTATTAAACACACTTTAATAATTTAATATCTTTCACAACATACTAAATATTAAAAGAGGCTTAAATAAATATTCTCTACAAATTCCTAACAATAAAGCTATTCCTAACTAAACTAATTTAATACAAAACGTTTTACTAAAGTAATCCATTTAAAACAACATTTTCAATACTTCCTTAGTTTGTAAACTAATCTCCATTACTGCATACACTAATAGTAT